TGTATTGGTGGACATGCGGCGCTTGTTACCCTGCTGCTGGAGTATCCGTACCCTGAAACGATGCTCAACACATACACGTGAGACATATACTGCTATCTCTTTCATGCCCGTTACGATAATAGAGACATCCTTATGACTTATGTGTGTACTATGTTTCAAATGGCCCGGCAACAAAACGCATTAAAATCGCGAGGCAAAATGATGCTGTGATTTTTTGTGGTACATCGCCATCTAGTGACAACTTATACAATTACATTTTATTAGCACTACCTTTCTTACATAAGCGATATGTTATACACAAATAGGCACAGGAGAGTTTCATTATAAACATATTCTTCATAGATTTCAAGGTTCCATAATATTTATCAATTCCTTCCTTATATGGATAACAATTACATCTATTGTTAAAAATATCAAGGATGTTTACTTTCCTATTGAATAATAAACTACAAAGGTATGCCTTTCTTTATGTTGTGTTTCTGTATAACTTGTTTCTTTATAACAATGGTAGAAATTATTGATATAACAAAACTAACTCAACTGTATTGTTTTACTTACTTCATATATCGTTATAAATCATTTATTTAATAGAGATTTCTAATACAATGTTAATTAGAGGCATAAATATGCGGCATACCTCAAGGCTCCGTATCTGGCCCCTGTGCAGTGACGCGTCAGGCCAGTGGCGGTATCGCTTCTCGTTCGACGTGAACGCGCGCGACGCCAGCGGACAGACCGCGCTGTACGTCGCCTGCACTCTCGGCAACGCAGCTGTCGTTGAAGCGCTGCTAGCTTTTACCCTGCCCAAGGAGAAGGTGCTCACGGAGCAGGTTATAAGACATTTAATAAACAAGCCTTCTACTATAAACATCATCATCTTCCTGCTTATTCTACTCTTGTAACGCAACAGGTTTTTGTCCTCCAAATAACTCTACCATACGTCATCTCTGTCATCACTCCCTTCTCGATCATGTCACTTTTCACGCAATCCATCCATCTTTTACTAAGTCTACCTCTACCGATGTACCCTTCCACACTCATAACTAACCTTCTCTTTGTTACATACGATTCATCCCTCTTTACAACATACCAAAATCTTTTACTCCTTACTTTTTACACAGGGGCTAGTCTAAAACTTCCTCTGATATCTTCGTATATCGTAAACAAGGTTTCTACCAAGATTTTAAAATCAAATTGTCCTTCAGACTGATGTAGGAGATGAGGCAAATGAGACA